CGATGCCGAGGACTCAAGTGGAGAGCAGATGTTTTGAGAATGACGAGGGCAATGAATGCACAAATGTGCTTTACACAACTGATGTATGTATGGATTGTTATAAGAGCCATATGAGCCCCTAATAAAATGATTAAGAATAAATAAATAAATAAATAAATAAATAGTAGAAAAAAAGAAAATGAGCTCTACAAATCTAGTCCAAAGGCACCTGGGAGGAGTTAACATGCAAGTTTCAAAATACAGGATAATGAACATAAAACCTAGGACCAACAATCCAAGCATAGTGAGGTAGTTAGTTTATTGTTGGGCGAAGGGAGGGGTTGGAGCACCCGTGTGGAGACCCCTGCCAGTGCTGAGATGTTTACACATTCATTGAATTGGCTTTCCTCCTGCATTCGGCATCATCATTGCTTCTGTTTTGTGAGATGGAGGAGGACTTTGTGGACTGGTGTTGGACATATGGGTTAATGGGTTAATGTTGGACTTGTGGCCTTGGGCAGAACTGGGTTGGGATGTTTTCATGATGCGCATTTAACCTTTATATAAAACTCTCTTATACATGAGTTTCTGTGGATTTGTTTCTCTAAAGTACCCAGACTTACACACATATTAACAAGGTATTGACCATGTAAATCCTGGGCGGGGGTGTGTGTGTAGGTATGTCATGTAATTTGATATATATTACATGTAGAGAAAAATGAAACAATCACTCCTAATCTTAACATACACCGAGCTTTGGTGGAAGCAAATCTTTGTTTACAAAAAACAGATAGATGGCCAATGGAAATGTATAATCCATTATATTGATTCGAGATATGTTACTGATGCTTTCATTTATTACCATATAATCATTGCTGAAGGAATAGTCATTGGAACTAGATATTCAATATGATTTCCAAAGACTTGTGATTCATTTTACAGGGAATAGTCAGAAATTATTAGCATAGTTACTTTAACGTTATATGCTACTATCACTTGACAGTACCTAACAACATCCCTATTTTGGAATCCGTGGGCTGTGTTAAAAGATTCAGTGGTTCAAAGACACCGAGTAATGCTCTTTAGAAAGAACACAGCCATAGAAAATCCCGTGAACTGATTTTGCTCTGAAACACCTGGGTTGCCATTGGTTAGAATGGACAACCGCTAATAGCCTTTTAGTTCCGATTTCAATAATCCCACTTATGCAACCCTGGTGCAGTAGTGGTTATGCATTGGGCTGTGATTCGCATGGTTGGCTGTTCAAAATCACCAGCAGCTCTGTGGGAGAAAGACTGGACTTTCTACTCCAGTAGACAGTAACAGTCTCAGAAACCCACAGGCGTCACTAGGAGATAGCATTGGCTAGATGACAGTGAGTTTTCAGTTCTTTTATATATCTAGGAAGAATTATCCTCTTGCTAATAGTATAGGTGATTTTTTTAGAAATAGGGATTCTAAAGTCCTTTAAGTTTTTAAAACCTTTTATAGATGTAAATATTTGAGAAAGGTTGGGTAAATGAATTGAATATTGGCCAGTTAACCCCCTTGAATGACCTTCTCTTCTTCTGCCTGAGAATCTGTCAGATATACTAGCAAAGGAAAAAATAACCCTTTCATGACCCACAGTGGGCAGAGCACCTCTCTACATGTTCCTCCTCTGGGATTTATGGGGCAATTGCTTTCCCAATGATGGCAAGCAGGAGCTGACTTGCATAGCTACATGAAACAGGTACGTGCTACAAATAATTGTTTTTACAAAAATGTGTCCCACCAACTTGTGACAATTCTGAGAAACATGTCCCGTAGGCAATGGGACATATGCATCCCACCAGGCAGCTAGAGGGGTAAAGGTGTCCTAACAACACTACCCCCACAGTTCAGAGAAACACAATTACTCAGCATTCATTCTATTAATGAAATGCCATTTTATCAACAAAGAATTTACAGGGAAAAATAAATAATGAAAGTGATACTCTTGCCTGTGATTTCACAATACTAAGTAATTACCTCAGGTATTAAAATGTAGATTCTGATGCAATAGGTCTGGGGTAGGACCTTATCATCTAGATTCTAACTAGCTCTCGGGGTGTGCTGCTGGACCACGGATCTGACTTAGAATAGCAAGTCCTCGGTCATAATCAACTATGGGCACATATTGCAATTGCCCAGGATATTTATAAGGAATAGTTCTTGGGGTAAAATGTATTCTGAAGTCCAGTCTGGACCTTGAGTTGTAATAGCTCCTCAGATAAAGCTAACAGGCAGCTAAATCTGAGAGACTAAAATAAAGACCCATAGTGGGTAAGGAATTGGGATGCTAACCGCAAGATTAACAGTTTGAACCCACCAGCTGCTCCACAGGAGAAAGGTGAGGCTATATGCTCCCATGAAGAGTGGCAGCCTCACAAACCCAGAGACAGTTCTACTCTCTAAGAGGGCTGATAGAGCAGACTGGATTATACAGTAGGTTATAACCCAGAAGTATTAGGTTCAGCTAAGGCTCAGCCTCCCCTTGGTTTCTATTATACCAAACAAGAGGGCTAGAAATAACTAGCAATGCATTGATTGAGATTAGCATGCGTCAAATCCCCAAATTTTGAGGATAAGATTATCAGTCAGGTTCTAAATTTAGGACTATCAAGGTTTCTGTTTTGCCATTGAGTCAATTCTGACTCAGAGATTCTACGTGTATCAAGAGGGAATCATGATCCCTGTTTTCAATGGCTGATTTTTCAGAGGTAGATAGCCAAACCTTGCTTCCACGTTGCCTATGGGTAGATGTGAGCCTTCAAATTGACTTTACTCAGCCAGCAGTTAACTGCACCATTCAGGACTCTTGCAATTTTATGTGCCTCCTAAATTATTATAATTATGCCTCCATAATCATTTTATAAGCCTATATATATTATATAGTCCTTTAAACTTAAATATCTTAGAATTCTGATGAAATGATCTGAATTATTTTTCAGATTGGGGTAATTAACAAAAATAAGATTTTTTATAACAAATGTGTCTGTTCCCAACTCTAGATAAGAGTCAGATTAGTTGAATAAGCTTATTAAGAAAGCTCTTTTAACACTAACCCCCTAATTATAGCAGTGTACTACAGTGCAAAGGACCCTCGATAGCACAGTAGTTTGCTATGGGCTTTTAATCTGAAGGTTAGTGGTTCAAATCTACTCAGCAACTAAAGGAAAAGGCATGGCAAACCACTTCCATAAAGATTACACCCAAGAAAGCCTACCAAAACAAACCCACTATCCAGGTCAGTTCTGATTCATGGTGACCCTATATAGGACAGGGTAGAATTGGCCCAGTGAGTTTCGGTGAATGTAATTCTTTGCAGGAATTGAAAGTCTTTTTCCTGCTGCAATTAGCAGCCCAACACATATCCACTATGGCTACAAAGAAGTTCTACTCTTAGCACATCATTGCATGAATTGGAATCCACTTGATGAGTTGGATCTTTTTTTTTAACTTACTGGCATACAAGTGCCACATACTAATGATTTGGCTGTTAACTCAAAATTTCTGAACATATTTTCTCAACCTGTCTTAAATTGGATATGGTGAAAGTCCACCAAGAATGTAGAGCACAAAGATTGATGAAATATAAAATATACAAAGATTAAACAGAATGAACTATTATCATCACAAATCTCTACCCTACACAAAAAATTTCTACCCTACACTTCCAGCTTTGCCCCCTCTGTAAACACAAGCCAGCAAGTCTTATTAGGTTAACAAAATGGAAGTATCTAGTTTACTCTGAACACCATTCATCTAACAAATCTCTTAAGAAAAATCCCATGTCAAGTATCTTCCAGAAAAGTCTCCTAATTGTTCGGCTAACACTAAAATAGCAAATAAATTTAAACCTAGAAAAAACAGAGTATATAGGGTGGTAGGGGCAGAAAGGATCATTATAAAGAACACCATGCAAAATTAAACACAATATAACCTGAGAATCATGAGGTATTAACTTTTCCTATAGAAAACTATATCTCAAAGCACATGGTCTTATGCTTTGTCCCAAATACATAAGTATTTATTATCGTTAGATACAGAGAACTTTTTTAGTCCTGCAAGTAACTGATCATTCCCATAAAAAATGATCACAATTAAGAGGTGGCATTACAGACAGATTTATTCCTTTTTTAGTTTATTTTTAAGTTTGAGTAAATGTCCTGCCAACCAAAACACTATAGTTGTGATTTAGTGTGACCACTACATCAGAAAGCCCTGGATGGATCAGTTAGTGTCACTCCTGCAACGCTGTGTCACAAGAACACCTGGATAGCTATTATTTTAACAGTGAAGTAGTGAGGCATAAGCTCCGATCATTAATCATCATCAGAACTGGAGTCATCCTCTTGGTCGGAGAGTTCAGGGACAGGGAAGCGGAGAATGGCAGCTACTCCAGTCAGCTGGCTGAGCTGTTCCCCAGATACATGAAGACTAGAGAAGATCCTAACAGTGCCTGCGTTCTCTTTCACGCTGTCCACCAGCCTCACGTAGCGACTCCGCGTGGCAACGTCCTGGTGCCTGAAGAGCTCATCGCTGATGAGCAAGGTGTCAATTGCCATGGCCTCATTGGCCTTTTCCACCTGCTTGAGTCCGTAAAAAGCTCGGTCAGGTTCATGCTGTAACATTTTATAGAAGTCATCCAAGGCTTTTACTTCCCCAGCAGCTTTCGTGTCTGAAAGGCGACTCGCTACAGTAGGGTCACAGAGGACCTCTTTCAGGGAGTATTTGTGTCCAGAGGAGGCATGTACCTGGAATCACAATAAGAGTTAGAGAATCCATTTATCAGCCCAGAATGACCTACGACCAAAAGCACTCATAAGGCTGTATAGATGTTTTTCAGTGTTTCAGCAAAGATTTCTCTATACCTTTGCTGGTGTTAACAATTCTCTTCTGTGAAATAAAATCAAACCAAACCCTGCGCTCTATTTCCCCCATTTCCCTAACTCATTTACAAGTGCACTCCCAGCCAAGGAAAACCTTGGGCTCCCTTGACTAACCCTCCCCGCCCCCTGTATAAAACAACTGGGGAGATTGAACCAGTTCCCCCTGCCCCATTCTCCACGATCCCATTCTCCACTGCTCTTTACCTGAAGGAATTTGGACCGGTTTTCCAGCAGCAACTTGTTGTCAGTCTTCACTGCTTGCTGAAACATGTAGTCGCAGAACTGCTCCCTCACAAAGCCCGGACTGGCCACCAGGATGCACTTGACAACATCGAAGTGTATATGGCGCTGGATGGCCTGGACCACCTGTTCATAGAAGCGCTCCAAGGCACGGTCATGCTGGGAGCAGTTGCCTCTCCGCTTCCTGGGGATGGTCACCTCCACTTTGGCGCGAGTTAGGGTCATGCTAGGAGTGACTAGGCAGATGTGGGCGAGGCCTTCCTGCATGACCACAGCGGCCACATCGGCGCTCCACGCGGGGTCACAGGCCTGCTCGATGCGCTCCAGGACCACACTGTCCCATTGCTTCTTGGCCAGGGTGAACTGGCGGTTGGGCTCCAGTTCGATGGTGTGGTACGCCCCCATCTTGACATACTCGTTCTCCTGGATGTTGGTGCCCTTGACGCGCAGCTGGCAGGCTTGCGAGTCGAAGTCGATGGCCTCCACGCAGAGGGTGAGGGTCGTGCGGACCCGGTTGCTGCCCACGCTGCCCGTGGAGGACTCGGTCTGCACCTTGCGGATGGTGGAGGCGCGCAGGCTGTCGCCCACCTGCACTAGGTTGTAAGTGTGCCACATGTCCTCGGGCTCCTCGGGGACCAGGGTCACCTGGCCCGCGTTGTCCTTCTCAATGTCCTTCCTCAGGAGCTTCATGATCGCAAAAGGGGCTCGGGCGCGAAAAAGAGCGCGTCCCAGACCCGGAAAGGGGCAGCGAAAGCGGAAGGGGGCGGGCGCGGGATCCGACCGGCGCCTGCGGGAAAGAACTAGTCTAACTCTGACTAGCGGCCTAGCGGAGCACTTACTTTCACAGCTCTTTCCTGTCCGGTCTCGGCGCGCGACGCGCCAAGGCGTGAGAAGCCATAGGGACGAAGCCTCCACGGAAGGGGCAGCAGCCGGCAAGGACCGGGCGGCTGATGCAATGTAGGCGCATGCGCAGCCCGCATTCACCCCGCCTCCCGCGCTCTCGGCGCACGGCTGACGTCAGCAGCGGAGGGCGTGGCCGCCGTAGGCGCGCTGCAGGCTGAGGCGCTCCTGGCAAGCAAACTTATTTAAGCAAGCCATCTACCCACTCTGGTGGTGGTGGTGGTGTGGGTGGGGGGCTTTATCTTAATGCTAAACTTGGATTTCCTAAATTTCCGCTTCCTTCCTCGTTTGTGAAGAATCAGGATGATGTTTAACCAAACGTTATTTTCCAACGGGGTGCAATTGACATACTAAACCTCTCCTTCCTCCGGGTGAATCCGGTTTTATAAAAAACAACATCTGAAAGTAAAGAGAACACTGAAAAGCGCACACTTCACTCCCTCCACCCCCACAGATCCACGCTTTTTCACTCCTGCTTTACCCACACACAGACGCCACATGCCTGTCGGGGCTGGCAATTTATAGCGTCGGTTGCTAAGCATGCCTGCCTTAGCAGCGCAGCGTGTCCAGCTGTTTTGTAAGTTTAGCTACCGTGGCACTCACTGTTCATTATCTGATTAAACCAGATGTCAAAGCACTGCTCCCTGGTAGAGAAGAAACCATTTGTGGAATTTCCCCCCGGGTGGACTGCCCAAGCAGCTTGACCTGATGTCCTGGGAATCCCAGAATCTGTGGCCTGTGAAATGTCTACCGTGCGGGTTGGTTTGGGGTAGGTGGAGCATTACAGGCCTAAACCAAGAGCCAGTGAAGAAGCTGAGTGTGTGCTGGGGGAAACACAGTTAATAGACTGTGACCTCCCACAATGTAAGAGCTACAGAACAGATTTCTAAAATCCCTCATGTAGAAGAAGGAACCCAGGTGGCACTGGGCTGCTAAAAACAAGGTCAAGAGTTAGAAACTATCAGAGAAAGAGGAGGCTTTCCACGGCTGTGAAGAGTTCCAAGCTCTGAAACCCTACCAGGTCCTACAGGGTCGCTATGGGTGGCACTGACTTGACGGCAGTGGGTTTGGTTAAGTGAGATCACCCTTTGGTTAAGCCAAGTGCCTAGCCACTGCCCTACGCTGACTCCTTTCTAAGTCAGACTTCCGTAGGAAGAGAATGGGTAGCCGATGTGTGTGTGTAGGGCACCTCAACCTCCTACTTCTTCACCTTTACTGTCTAGAAGTTAAATTGTGGGGTGCTAATGTTACTCTGCTTGCTAACCTCAAGGTCAGCAGTTCAGCCACTCCCAGTGAGAAAGCTGAGGCCATTTGCCTTTGTAAGGACTTGCAGCCACGGTGAGTCAGTTGTGGATTCCATGGCAGTGGCTTGGGTTTGGTTTCTGATTTCCTATTCACCAGTACTTTGTGGAAGCACTTCCCAATACTCAAGCTTCTGTCCATCTCAAGTTAAAACCCAGCAACAACAGTAAACTCTCAGAATCGCCGTGGGAGGCACATCAATCAAAGAAAAAGCAAACCCATTGCTGAGGTGTCCCTGAGTGCAGAATAGAACTGCGTGCTGCTGTTTTCCTGGGCTGTGACTTTTCCAAGGCTGGTTGCCAGGCCTTTCTCCCCTTTCTTTCAAGGTACCTCTGGGTCAGTATTAAGGCCTTACACTTCCCAGAAACTCCTTAATAGGTGTACAGCAGGATGTTAAGAAATACTAGATTTTGATTGAACAGCTATCACTGATTGAATATCCTCCAGGTACATAATTTTCCAGGCTCTTTCTAACCCTCACTCGCAAGATAAATATTTGTATTCCTAAATTTAAATGAAAAGAATAGTTAAAATGACAAGTTAGATGACATAGCTAGCATCCAAAGTCAGTACTTCTTCATTGTAACTCCACAACTTCTCCCCTTTCTACCACTGTATTATAGTATATAGTATATACTAGTATATTATGAATGCTGTGTGAATGCTGTTGTCCACTGCCAATCCTCCCTGGCACTCATTTTAACTAGTTAAACAAACACCTACAGCATGTAGGCCCACATACATTATTTGAAAAGGAATGGTCACTTCTCTGCTCTCTTGTTATCTCTTAACATTTTTGTATTTTTTCTCTACATGGTCTTCCTTCTATCCACTCTCAATCATAGTTCGTGAAAAAAATCATATCCTATTTAGAGAAATAAACATATATTTCTACACTTTAGACTTGTGAAAACATTATGCAGTGTCCCCTCTCTCACTCCTGCTTCCATTCATCCTATTTTTAAGGAGCTTGACCTTAAGTAAAGAAAACCAAGGAAGAATCAAAGCAATTGAATTATGGTGCATGTGAAGAATATTGAAAATATTATGGAGTGCCAAAATACAAACAAATCAGCCTTGGAAGAAGTACAGTCAGAATTCTCCAAAGAGGCAAAGATGGCAAAACTCTGTCTGATTACTTTGCACATGTCAGGAGAGAAAGTCCTTGGAGAAAGACATCATGCTTGGTCAAGTAGGAGGGCAACGAAACAGAGGAAGATCCTTGATGAAAGGGATAGATGAAATGGCTGCAACAGTGAGCTCAAACTTAAGAACAATTGTGAGGAGGACACAGGGCCGGACAGTGTTTCTCTCTGTTGTCCAAAGACGTCACTAAGAGTTGCAACTCACTTAATGGTATCTAACAACAGCAATGTCTTTAAGGAGACCTGTTGGTGTACTGGGCAAACATAAGATTTGTATTGAACTTCTAATTGTAAAGTCAGCAATTCTAACCCACCAGTTGCTCAGTGGCAGAAAGATAAGGCTGCCGATCAAGTTTATTACGATTCATAGCAAACCTACGTAGAGTTTCTGAGGCTAGAAATCTTTACGGGAGCAGAAAGCCTCATGTTTCTCCCGCCGAGCATGCCGACCTTGGGGTGAGCAATCTGACTCAAGAGTCTTGCCAACAGCACCAACAGAGCTCCCTGGGTTTCCATTTGAGTTAATTCAGATTCATAGTGACCTGATGGGACCTGGCTCCTAAGGGTTGTAAGCTGTAAATATTAATGGGAGCAGATAGCCTCATTTTTCTCCCTTGGGACTGTTAGCAGCCAAGCACCTAACCCACTAAACCATCAGTGCTCCCTGCCTGTAGTGCAGCACCAAACAAAGCCAAACTCCCTGCCATCAAGTTGATTCCGACTCATAGCAATCCTGTAGGGCAGGTGGCACTGGTGATTCAGCCTATGCCACTGGGGCTCCCTACCTGGAGCACAACCCAGTGACAAGTGATAAACATGTCCACATTTCCCTCTTCTGTTTTGCTGTTAAGACTTATTTCCCTGTAATACAAATGTAAACTTTGCATCCCTCCGCTTGCAGCATCTTCCTGTGTCAACACTTCTCTGCATGCTGGTTGCCTCTTCCAGATTGTGACTCTCTGAAGAGCAGAGACCCCTTTCCTTTGACTTCTCGTGGTGTTTTTGGAGCCCACCCAGTGCACAGTCATGTGTGGCATCTGCAAGAATGAGTGGTGGCTCATTTTCTCATAGTTTGTGTTTCACTTTCCTATCACTCACGTCTTACAATTTGGAAATCATCTTCGAGAGACTACTCTCAAGGCATGTTTTTGTCAATCTCCTTTAAATTTTGAGACACCCACACTTGAATAAGAAAAAAAAATTATTTGACCCTATCCCCCTGAGGAAAAGGTTTTTGAAAAAATGTCTTGTTAGATATATACTGGAAATAAATAGCCATGTTACTGAATAAATAGCCAGCGCTCTGATGAACACTATCTAGTGCTGCATGTAATCATCTATTTAGAAAAAATGTAGTACTAGCTTCAGAGTGTAGAAGGGCTCTCACATGACTTCCATAAGCAAAGCTAAGGACAACTGGGACACCATTCAGCTAACTCAAGAAAAGGGTAAAAGGTAAAAGGGAAAGCTGTGTGTGCGTGCGTGTGTGCGTGTGTGTGTGTGTGTGTTAAATGAGGAACTTGGTGTTCTCACTCACTGTCTAGATTTCCTGTGATTGAAAATACTTACTTGCATTTGACACAAAGCATGCTAAACCAACTACCAAATAAACACAATCCTCTCTACAAAGGAATGTGGGTGTGTATGCACGTCTGTGTATACTTAATCACTCTACCAATCAGCATTGTTTTGCCAAATGCAATACCAGAAAATATATTATGCAAATAGTTTTAAAGGGTTAGTCAATACCCATGTGTTTTCAGATGTCAGTATCTGGCCAGCTAAACAGCTAGTTAATAAAAGAGTTTGAAAGTACATTGTAATTTGTCTAACTGTATATGAACTTTAATAAAATATATAGGTAATCTTAATCTTCAAAGTTCTAATGTGATTAGGGGGCTCTATAAAATTATATGTATTGTATTTATTTATGTACACACACATATACCTATATTGTTTTATTTGTAAAGAGCTACTGTTCAAATTTAAATATTTACATAGAGTAAACTAACTCCAACCAGTGTAAGAATTTTAATCTCATCAATGTAAGGACACAATTCACTTTTAATCTTTCTTGTTTTAAATTACAACAGGCTAGAGAGAAAACAATTAGTCTCCTACTACAGAGTGCTTATCTAGTGCTTATCACCAATTTGATATTAACTTTCGGCTTGCCTAAGCTCGGTGATTGGTCCTGCATGAATAGAACAGTTCTGGTGCCTTTAAGCACCTTTCCCTAGAGGCGTCCTTTTAAAGATAGGCTAATTCAGGAAGCTGTGTTCTTGGGAGCTGATGGGGCAGTGTTATCAGTGGCACAATTCCTCCCTGAATCAGGTATAAACAAGTTTCTGAAACAGAACCAAAAGGAGAAGCCATGTTCATATGATTGTACTCAGAAGGTATATCATATAATGCCTGTTTGAAATTGTGGAATATACATATGTTAATGTTTTAAGTAATAGAAAATTAACCATTTAGATATGATGCATGATATTTTAGTCTAAATTTCTTGTGCACGTTTTCTA